TGGCACTAGAAGCTTTCTTGGGCCCATGATGACTTATTTTGCAGGTGCAATAACTAAAAAGGCTGTGATAACATGAAATTTTCCGATTGTACGCTTGGAAGCGACCGCGGTGGCTGGCTGGCTTGTAAACACTGGCCAGAAGTGGACGCGTCTCAGACAGAACGAATAGTGTTGGTTGAGTTTTTTAGCGCTAGTCGAGGCAAAATTTTTGCGTTAAAATGTATTGCTAGTCGGATTTATCATTAATCGATGCCATCGTTGGTCGAGGGTCCACTGTACTGCATGTATTGACCAGTATTCAAGAATCAACTAAGTTAGTCACAAACACATAACTGAGAATCGTATGGGACACATGTATGGACCATTGATTTTAAACTAGCCAAACAGGTACAGTAGATTGTCAATTAACATAGTAGTTACATTCCTGAAAATGAAGTGTTAAACGAATCCGTGTTAAAGGAACTGAAAAACTTGTGGAAAAATTGGGTTATGTTCCTGAGACCCAAAAAAAATCCATATTTTTTTTTTTTTTTTTTTTTTTTTTTTTTTTTTTTTTTTTTTTTTTTTTTTTTTTTTTTTAGATTTAGAAATCTTAGAAAAATCAAAATATTATAGTTGTTATTCATTGTCATTATGTATTACGTTTTTCTGTTCCTTAAGGCTAGAAATGCAGCACAAATAATATTTCTTAAATTGTGGTTCCTGGTGTGGATGGTAATCAAGCCAGTTAATAAGTCAGTCAAGTCAATCAGTGAGTCAGTAAAGTCAGTCAAATTAGTAGGTCAATCAAGTCAAGCCAGTCCAGTTTGATGGGAAGTCAGTACAGTCAGACAAGTCAGTGAGTCTAATCAGTCAAGTAAGTCACTTAGTCCAGTCAGTACAGCCAGTCAGTCTAAGTCAGTGGTTCCCAAACTGGGGGTAAATTACCCCCTGGGGGTAATTTAACCATTTTTGGGGGGTAATGGAGGGGTGACAGAAAAAAAGTTATGAATTCTGAAAATCAAGAAAACAATGCGGTACCCGGTATGAGGATTATTGTTAACTTTGTCTTAGTATATAAAGTTGTAAAGTAAAACCTATTATAAGTAATAAAGTTAAACCAAATAACAATAAACATCAAAAACTAATATACAGTATTAGAAAAGAAGAAATATATAGCTAAGTGTGTGGAAACCCAAAAGTATTTTGACAAGTATGCTTCAGGACAAAAGTCACTCAGTAGCCCAGATCGACCTGTCCAGTATGCGTCACTCACTTCCTGAGGCTGCCTCTATTTCACACAGTCAGTTTATCTGTGAGCATCAGCCGAGGTAGACATAAGCTGGTATGTATGTGTACTGCCCTGTGCAGTATATAGTTAGTATTTACCCACTGTTACGTGAATTTGTAGCTATTATTAATTTTATATATAATATATGTGTGGTTCTTACGTTTTCAATGGTTTTGCTAGGATTAGCAGAGTATGCGAGGCTGTATACGTTCACGTTTAGCCATATATATCAATAATAACAACATTTTGTGAAAGGGGTAACATGCTTTATGTGGCATGTTAAATTGGGTAACAAGCTGAAAAAGTTTGGGAACCACTGGTCTAAGTCATTAACTCTTAAACGGTCCAAACGTATACAGTGGACCCTCGCCTAACGCTATTAATCCATTCCTGAGAGTTCAATGTTAGGCGAAATTATCTTTAGGCGAATTAATTTTCCCCATAAGAAATAATGGAAATCAAATTAATCCGTTCCTGACACCCCAAAGTATGAACAAAAAAAAATTTTTACCACATGAAATATTAATTTTAATACACACAAAACTGAAGAAGGCATGCACAGTTACATGACACTTACCTTTATTGAAGATCTGGTGGTGATTGATGGGATGGGAGGAGGGGAGTGTGTTGATGGTCTTAGTGTTTAGAAGGGGAATCCCCTTCCATTAGGACTTGAGGTGGCAAGTCCTTTTCTGGGGTTACTTCCCTTCTTTTAATGCCACTAGGACCAGCTTGAGTCACTGGACCTCTGTCGCACAACATATCTGTCCATAGAGGCCTGTACCTCCCATTCCTTTATGACATTCCTAAAGTGTTTAACAACATTGTCAGTGTACAGGTTGCCAACACGGCTTGCAATAGCTGTGTGAGGGTGATTTTCATCAAAAAAGGTTTGCACTTTAAGCCACATTGCACACATTTCCTTAATCTTTGAAGTAGGCAACTTCCTCAATTTCTCTATCCCCTCCTCCAAACCAGTTTCCTCAGGTCTGGCCTCTTGCTGTTGAAGATGATCTAGCAGCTCATCAGTGGTTAATTCTTCATTGTCCTCCTCCACCAACTCTTCCACATCCTCCCCACTAACCTCCAACCCCAAGGACTTCCCCAATGCTACAATGGATTCCTCAACTGGCATAGGATTCCCAGGGTTAGCCTCAAACCCTTCAAAATCCCTTTTGTCTACACATTCTGGCCACAGTTTCTTCCAAGCAGAGTTTAAGGTCCTCTTAGTAGTTTCCTCCCAAGCCTTACCTATAATGGAGTCAATTGAGTTTCTGAGGTCACTACAAAGCACCTTTCAAACATAGCTTTTGTGTACAGTTTCTTGAAGTTGGAAATGACCTGCTGGTCCATGGGCTGCAGGAGAGGAGTGGTATTAGGAGGCAAAAACTTGACCTTAATGAAGCTCATTTCCGCAGAAAGTCGCTCTGCCACGTCTGAAGGATGACCAGGAGCATTGTCTAATACCAGGAGGCACTTAAGGTCTAATTTCTTTTCAATCAGGTAATTTTTCTCAGTGGGGGCAAATGCACGGTGTAACCAGTCATACAAAAAAGTCCCTAGTGACCCATGCCTTACTGTTTGCCCTCCACAGCACACACAAATTAGCCTTGAGGACATTGAAACTCTCAGAGTGTTCAGGAAAAACAGAGTGATACACCAATAAAGGCTTCACTTTGCAATTACCACTAGCATTGGCACACATCAACAGAGTAAGCCTGTCTTTCATAGGCTTATGTCCTGGGAGTGCCTTTTCCTCCTGAGTAATGTACGTCCTGTTTGGCATTTTCTTCCGTAACACGCCTGTTTCGTCACAATTAAACGCTTGTTCAGGTTTCAGTCCTTCACTGTCTATGTGCTCCTTGAATTCCTGCACGTATTTTTCAGCCACTTTGTGGTCCGAACTGGCAAACTCGCCATGCCTTATCACACTATCTATGCCACTATGCTTCTTAAATCTCTCAAACCAACCTTTGCTGGCCTTAAATTCACTCGCATCACCACTAGTTGCAGGCATTTTTCTAATTAAATCGTCATGCAACTTCCTAGCCTTTTCACATATGATCGCTTGAGAGAGGCTATCTCCTGCTATCTGTTTTTCTCTCAACATCATCTATCACTTGCGATCTCTGTTTCGAAAACAAAGTTGCACCTTTGGCAAGAACAGCTTCCTTGATTGCCGTTTTCTTGGCCACAATAGTAGCGATGGTTGATTGGGGTTTTGTGTACAACCTGGCCAGCTCGGAGACACTCACTCCACTTTCACACTTAGCAATGATCTCTCTCTTCATATCCATAGTAATTCTCACTCTTTTTGCTGTAGGGTTGGTACTAGAAGCTTTCTTGGGGCCCATGGTGACTTATTTTGCAGGTGCAATCACTAAAAATGCTGTGATAATATGAAATGTTCCGATTGTATGCTTGGAAGCGACCGCGGTGGCTGGCTTGTAAACACTGGCACCCAAGGAATAAGTGAGGCGGGCTCAGGCCGCACGTGGACGCGTCTCGAACGAACCACGTTGAGCGAGTTTTTTAGCGCTTGCCGAGGCAAAATTTTTGCGTTAAAATGTATCGCTAGGCGGATTTAACGTTATGCGATGCGTTCGTTAGGCGAGATTCCACTGTATATACATTCACTCGCGTAGTGCCCCAAATTTTTTGAGAGAAAAAAAATTGTGTCTTTTTAATAGGAAAAAAAAAGTATATGGTACCCAGACATTCCCAATTATTTTAATAGGGCGCACAGTGAGTGCGCACACCCATTCTCTCGTGTCTAGGTGACTCAGGCTTGTCGTGGCAGTGTTGAATGAATGACAAAGAAAACGTGTATATATATGTTTGGACCGTTTAAGCTTTAAGTCAAGTCAGGGACAGAGACAGAAATAGAGTTAGCCAGCCAGCCGAACATGTATTACACGAGTTGCAGAATCGTCACATCTGAACAATTGGAAAAGCTTAAGTTTATTTAGGCACAGGTACACATAAGTACAGTTTTCATACATAGTGTAAATTACCTAGGATAACCCAAAAAATCCAGACAGTGTTATACTGTGCCTGTAGATAGAATGCATAGTAAGCATAATTGGCAAGTAATGTGTGCGTCGTGTGTAATACCTGTTGGTTCACGAGTGGATCTCTCTGAGACAGAGAGAGAGAAAGACAGATAAGCAGAGACAGAGATAAACAGATAGACATGCTTACGTGTAACAGTGAAAACAAATAGAGCTAAGGCAGAGCATGTCACCACTGTCAGCAGTGGTGACATTCGTCTTACACCATGCTTCAAGTAAAATTATTATTAATTATTATTATTAATTATTATTTATTATTATTATTATTATTGCATACTCCCACATATCCAAAACATTGCTGGGACCTATAAATACTAGGTATATATTTCTAGACAATAGTATGTGACTAAGGTAGGTGAAAATGTTCACCTGTCAGTGTTTGTGTGGTTATTGTGTAGCATACAGCAAGTGAATATATATACTATATATACAATATGCCTTATATTGGTCTCACAGGTCATAAAAGTTACTTGAAAAAATAAAATATTAAAAAATAAAAAAGTAAATATATTATTACCGAGTGAGCCGCAGTCGGCGAAGCTGCCGTAAGTGGTCACCTTCATACCTCTGTATCTCAGTAAGTATTGATCACAAAAAAAATTTTTTTGTTCTATAACACTTAAAAAATATTCTTAATATTTTTGTAAGAAAAACAAAACTACTTCTTTATATATATATTTTTCGAGCCTGAGAACGAGTTCAGGATGAGGCATCTCAACCCTGAAAGAGTTAAAATAATAATTTATAAAACTTATTTTTCTTTAATAGATTTTTCACAAAACAATTCTACACAGTAATTAGCACACTGGCAAAATGAAAGTAAAGTTTGCCAGTATTAATGTGTGTTGTTGCAACAGTACTTGTGTGAAGAAATGAAACTGATTCCTTGTATGTTAAAATTTGGAAATAAGTCATATCTATAAAAGAACTTTCTGGGAAACTGAATGCAATAATAAATGAAACTGACTCCTTGTATAACTGAATATCAAGCTTATTTACTACAACCTCTGTTAACACCGTTAATTCATTTCAAACATCTTGTGGGTACTACAACGGATGTGATATTCAACATTATCGTACTGGTTCTTTTGTCCTTCAGTGTTATCTTAGCTTCCTTTAGCCTCCCCTCGTTAACTCGTACCCCTTAGCTCTGGAACTAGCCTCAATGCGAAGGAATTCTTTGCACACTTGACATGTTGTATAAAGGGCTTAGAACTTGCACCAAAGTTTAGTAAGCAAAGGATGGACCTCTGTCGTCATCATCATCTTGGTCAGGATACTCAAAGTCTGTTGTTCTGACATCTTGATCTTCACCATATTGCAGAGCAAAGTCTGTCTGAATAAGTACATCCATCAAAGAGTCTTCCTTCTTAATGTTGAGAGGAACATAACGTACAAGGGAATATTCGTCGAGAACTCTACCCAGGGCCCGGGTCAACTTGTGATACCTGCAATAAAAAAAAAAATCATCTCGTACATTTGTACATCACCACTGACAACACACAAGCATCATTGGCATCGCTTTTAATGAGATTTTAGAAAATAGCCTTAGTTACCCCACTGTAAAATTAGTATTATTATTCACAAGTGATAAACCGCAATGGGTCATTCAGTGCTGAACCAAATGAGAAAACGTTACCAAAAGTGTACAGTGGTACCTTGAGTTTCAAACAGCTCCCAACTCTAATAATTATGTAAGTGTATTTTTGTAATTGCTTTTGTAAGTGTATTTTTGGGGGTCTGAAACGGATTAATCTAATTTACATTATTCGTTCGGTAACGGCACTCAAACAGCCTTCTGGAACGAATTAAGTTCGTAACTCGAGATACCACTGTATGTTAAATCCATATTTTAATTGGTCAAGTTTGCCATTAGTATTTTGTTTAAAAATAGAACTTGGGGAATGATGGGTAACTAAGTTTGATCTAGGGAAGGGAAGGATACCTCCACTTAGTCAAGAAACATCTACCATCATTAATAGAGAAAAATAAAAATCTTACTTTTTATTGAACTTGGAAGTGGCATGTTCTGAGTCTAGCAACTCTCGTACCTCCGGAACAAGGAACATCTCAAGCTGTTGTTGTGCCGCCTTGTTCAGCAAGTCCATCTTGGTCAGCACATTTATGTGAGGAACCTGACAACACACAACACTTGAGTCACATGGTCTGATAACACTAGTGAAGATGATGTACTAACAACACTATTGAAGATTATATACTGACAACAATAGTGTCTTGTTCTTCACAGTAGTCATGGAGACAATATCAACAGACTCACTTTCAGTTCATCTTTCTCACTGTTTATCTTACCCTGCACTCTTTTTTTTTCTCTTTCTACTGGTCACTCCATCTGTTCATACTGCAAGTTGCTCCCTAAATGAGCTTATTTATGTTCATGTTGTTATAGCAAGTTATAGATCTACTCAGCCTTTTAAATACATTTCTATGACATTCAGATTCATTAGTCATTTCTAACACTTTCTAGTACCTGATGCAAAGAGACCAAGGTTTTATTTTGCCCTGTCTTTCAAAATACTTTGTTTGGTATGTATAATTCAGTGAGATTAAATCCATACAAACTGTACATTAATTCCTTTCTCTCCAGTTTTCTAATATTTATACGTGGCTGCTTCAATAAGTATGTTGTTGAAAGTCCTTATGCAACCGTCAACTTTTAGTGTCAGAGCCTCAACCATCCACCTCAGCATCCTTCTACACTGTTCAGCATCATCGATATGCACCAACAATCACAATTTAAGGTAAGATTATTTCTGTAACATTTGTAGATTTAACCAATGCATTAAACATAATACATCTCGACAACCAACTATAGTTACATCATTATTTTTATTTGCTTGCAATTTGGAGACCTAAAAAGAATGCAAAGCAGTACATAAAAAAATTCAGATTGAAATTCTCAGCAAAGCATCAAAACATCACTTACAGCTGCCATTATTTAATGATTAACACATTAATTGCATAGCAATACCTTTATCCTTAACCTGCTCCTTTGTAGGAAACTTCTCCTGTTTTTGTAGCAGATAACCTAAGCTGGCCAGGACCACTGGAAGCTATCCCTCAGCTACTAGGTCTTTGCCTAAGCTAGCCAGGACCATCACAAGGTCCCCTTCAGCAGTAGTAAGCATAAAAGAACAAGGTTACCAGGTTTCCTCCAAATACTCCATCATACATCCCATAAAGTGTAGGAAAACTCTTTCCCAGACAAGACTGTCCAAAAGACTGGGACAGATCTAACTGTAAAGCTCTTGTCTAGCATATTTAGAGCAGTGATGCGACCATGGCCAAAAGCTGGTGCCAATAAATGGATAATAGCCACACTACCACCATCTTTTATGACAAGCAGAAAACTACAAGCATTACACTATCCACAAACGTTAAATTCTGAGAATAAGTGTCACAATATTGTGGCTGGAACAATACACAAAGAACCCACATTTAAGAGGCTGAAACTTGTGATGTTTTGGTCTGACTTGGACCATTAACAAATCTGTATGACGTTACTGGTCCAAGTCGGACTAAAACATTGGGATAAGTTTCAGTCTCCTACGTGTGGATTACCTGTGTATTAAAATGTGGGATTTTATGAGTTTTTTTTCATTTCATATAAATGAAGCTATTGCTAAATTTTCCCTGTAAAATGCAGTGTAGAAAATAAGTTTGATTAAAAATTCTGGTAACTGATGTTTCTACACAATATAATAACTCTGCTATTTGTGATCATTCTGTGCTCCTGGTAATAACTATGCTAAACACACACACAAAGTAAAACTGTGTACACTGGAGCCTCATTTTTTGGCTGCTTTGTTTATCGGTCGATTCATACTTAGGCCAATTTTTGGGCGGAAGTTTTGCTCCATATTTCAGCCGATGCCTCGTAAGTCGGTCGTATTAGACGCATTAGCCCGCCTTTTCTGCCGGGACGCCGCACTTTGGTGAGTTAGTTTCCCGGTGTCTCTTGGTGAATGAGCATATACTCAAAATCCATTGGTTTTTGTGATTATTAAGTGCGACTGTGAAATAAGCCACCATGGGCCCAAAGAAACTTCCTAATGCTAGACCTTTGGTAAAGAAAGTGAGAAACACTATAGAACTGAAGAAAGAAATTGTAGCAAGGTACGAAAGTGGAGGAGGAAGAGAGGGGGAAGAATGTGCCTTCTTCAGTGATTCTACGATATGTACAATACTAAAGCAGCAGGAGTCACAGGTTCTAACCTCACCCGTGGTATGGTTTGCTTTTTTTTTTTTTTTAAAGTAAAAATAACATTACCGAGTGAGCGGCAGTCACCGATGTTGCTGTAAGTCGTTCACTTTCTGTCAACTTCTCGCCTCTATATTTTGGTATTTATCACAAAAATATTTTTTTTCTGTTTTAAAACTCGGAAAAATATTCTTAAGATTTTGGTAAGAAAGAATAATTTTTTTTTTTTTTCAATTTTTTTCGACACTGAGAGCAAGTTTATAATCAGGGCTGTCGACAGTGAAAATATTAAATAAAAGTTAATTGAATTGATGGTCTACACACACACACAAATGACTGCACTGATGGACTAGTGAACATTCTAAGGGTACAGTAAATTACCCTACCTGAAAAGAAGAGAGTTTAAAGTACAGTAGAGTACAATAATTTTTCTATCCATTCCTGGTAGAGAGATGAGCTTACAGTAGGTATATTCCTGTGATTTCTAGTGGCTGAGTCAGAAAAGCTGTGTAGCTCCAGCAGTAACATCACAAATCAAATCTATCAAATCAAAGTTTATTCTCTATAAGGATTACAATGCGGGGTTTACAGATTTTGGTTATTGTGTGGTTTACATGTAATAAAATACTAATTACAGAGGGGGCCACTAGAACACCTAGCAAGGCTAGGCATTTCGGGCAAACTTAGATTAATTCGTAACCCTAAATTATTACAAATTGTGGAGTAAGTTGACTAAATACTAGTTTGTGAGTTTAGCAATGTGAATGCTTTTGTTTTGGCACAATACATAGTTTCTATATTGGAGTATCACAGGCAAACTTGTGACTAGTTAGGAATCATTATTTTAAGATTAAGATACGTATTTCTGTGCTTATAGTCAAATTGGTGAGTGCGTGAGTGTAAGTGTGAACCACCAGGTGGTTTTTATGTAGTTAGTTGTCGGGGTGTATCAGGGAGATAAGATGTTTTCTAACTGTAGTTTTGAAAGTGATGAGTGTGTCTGCAGTTCTAGAGTTCTCAGGTAAGGTGTTCCAGATTTTAGGGCCTTTGACATACATTGAATTTTTATAAAGGTTTAGTCGGACACGGGGAATGTCGTAGAGATGTTTGTGTCTGGTGTTATGCTTGTGGGTCCTGTCACAACTATCGAGAAAGCATTTTAGGTCAAGGTTAATATTGGAATTTAAGGTCCTGTATATGTAGATTGCACAGTAGTAAGTGTCGATGTTATGAACAGGGAGTAAGTTTAGATCTATGAAGAGTGGGGGGGGGGTTGCCATTGATGGGATTTAGTGATTATTCTTACTGCGGCTTTCTGTTGAGTTATTATTGGCTTTAGGTGTATTGCTGCGGTTGAACCCCAAGCACAAATAGCATAGGTGAGGTATGGATAAATGAGTGAATGGTATAGTGTGAGAAGGGCATTTTGCGGCACGTAGTATCGTATCTTGGAGAGGATCCCAACTGTTTTGGATACTTTTTTTGATATGTGTTGGATATGGGTGCTGAAATTCAGGTTGTTGTCGAAGTATAGGCCTAGGAATTTGCCCTCATTATGTCTGGCAATTAGAGTGCTGTCAATCTTAATGTTTAGTTGTGCAGCACCTGCTCTGCTACCAAACGTAATATAGTAGGTTTTGTCTGTGTTAAGTGTAAGTTTATTGGCTGTCATCCAAGTTATTTTGAGCAGCTCCTCATTAACAATGGTGTTGAGGGTGGCAAGATTAGGGTGAGAGATGACATAAGTTGTGTCATCAGCAAAGAGAATGGGTTTCAGGTGTTGGGTTACGTTTGGAAGATCACTGATGTAAATGAGGAAGAGCAGGGGTCCAAGGACACTTCCCTGTGGAACTCCAGTATCAAGTGGCCATGTTGATGATGCTGTGTCTTTAATGGTGACATACTGATATCTATTAGTAAGGTAGGATTTGAAATATGCAAGCGCATGGCCTCTTATACCATAGTGGTCAAGTTTGTGGAGTAGGATGCTGTGGTCTACTGTGTCAAAAGCTTTTCTTAGGTCAATAAAACTTCCTAGTGGATATTCCTTATTTTCCAATGTGGAAGACATACAGGTAGATGGTGTGTGAGATGTAGAGTAGATTATGTGGGAGATGTATAGTAGATGGTTGAGGAGATGCCAGAATCCATCGTCCTTTTTAATTCGGGTTTCATCTCAACAGAGTTATATATTATCACTTGCCTTTAGAGTTCTTTCTTAATAACATAATTAAATAAAATAATGATAATCACTGTAAATCCAGGGAAAACTGGAGACCAAATGATAGTACGTGAGCATATGAGCAGCCTATAACCAACTCGTGTAGGCTGAGCCAGTCATCATGTACAATGGAAACAGGCAGGTCATGGACACAGCCTGTACTGGACAGACCTGCGATGAAGCAGACATGGTCTGCTGAATTGATGGTACTACCAAACACCTCCCATAGAGACTTGGTCCACTGCATTGGCAATTCAACCAAACATCCCCATGCAGCGGACTCGCTGAGCCTTTGTTCAGAAAGATTTTTTGTTTGTTTTATTCCAAATTCATTTCATATATCAGAACTCTGTCCTTTAGTCCTGTACCTTAGAGGTATGAAGATGGACTGCTCTATCATTACACGTCTTGTCGATGATTCAGTGCATAGGGGCATTTTATACCGAAGTTCTACTGGACCATTATTAAAAGTGGAGCTCTAAACCTATTTGGGTTAGTCAGCATAAATGTTAGAAGCTAAATACTATGATTGCTAATTAGATGACAAGACATGCTACATTAATACCAAAATATACAGAGGCAAGTTTATTTCTAAGGAGAAATTATTATTATAATAGAATGAAAATGCATTAGGGTCATAAAGTATTAGTGTAACTGGAGGTAATGAGATTTGATTCATGGGGACGGTCCCCTCAAGGAAGGTTCCTTGATGTTGGTGAGGGGCTCTTGATTTAGGGAATTGAATCTGTGCTCCAGTTCCCCGAATTAAGCCTGAATGCCTTCCACATCCCCCCCCCCAGGTGCTGTATAATCCACCGGGTTTAGCGCTTCTCCCTTGATTATAATAATAATCATGGGGACGGTAGTTCTAATTCCATGGATCACAACCCCTTAACCTGCCTCTCTATCTAGTTTACATTATTAGCCATGATCCCCCCCCAACTGAGGGGAGGGGTCATGGCTAATAATGTAAACAAAATAGAGAGGCACACGAAATGAACCAGAAATAAATATACAATTGTGTCTACTAGTAGCAGTAATAATACTGACTTCAAGTTGCACCATGGTGGCAAGAGCAGCAATGCTCCCAGACAGGAATTTGGTAGTATCGACCATGTATGCCGAATCCAACACAAATACTGCACACACTCGGAAATCCATAGATTGAAGATGACCTATCAATCTGAAAATGAAAAGTATGTCACAAATATATTCACAAAAGATGATTTATTAATATGAGAATGAATAAGACTGAAGATAACCTACTTAACAGTCTGTGTCTAAATCTTAATTTATTACACGTAAACTATATCATTTTGTACCGCATAAGGAAATAAAAATTTGCATTTGTAATGTGAAAATGAACATTGCATTTCCACATATCTCTCATGATCTTCAGGGAAAGGAAAGAGGGAACTGGGGAGGCTCTTGATCCAAGGAATTGACCTACCCTATCCTTGAACTGCCCTTGTGGCTTAGCGCTTCTTTTTGATTATAATAATATCCTTGAACTAAACCTCATTCAGAAACACCTCTCCTTCCCTTGCTGGGTGAAGGTAATGAACCGGGGGTAAGATAGTGGACCACTTAAGTGGTGTACCACAGCAGCAAATGAAATAGATTCAACAATTGGTGAAGAAAATACACAGTGTACTAACCTGGTCATGACATTCATGTGAGTGTACAGTTCTATCTGGCCAGGACAGTCAAACAAAATACAGTCTTCATCATAGTCTCCCAGCTGCTCCTGCATATACAAAGTAAATATAAAAGTATGCAGTAATAATGGTAGAATTACCAATAATCTTCTTTTAACAAACTGGCCGTATCCCACTGAGGCGGGGTGGCCCAAAAAGAAAAAAGTGTTTCTCTTTTTAACATTAGTTATATATACAGGAGAAGGGGTTACTAGCCCCTTGCTCCCAGCATTTTAGTCGCCTTTTACGACACTCATGGCTTACAGAGGAAGAATTCTGTTCCACTTCCCCATGGAGATAAGAGGAAAAGAACAAGAACTAGTAAAAAAATAGAAGAAAACACAGAGGGTGTGTATATATTTGCTTGTACATGCATGTGTAGTGTGACCTAAGTGTAAGAAGTAGCAAGACGTACCTGAAATCTTGCATGTATACGAGACAAAAAAAAGACACCAGCAATCCTACCATCATGTAAAACAATTACAGACTTTCATTTTACACTCGCTTGGCAGGATGGTAGTACCTCCCTGGGTGGCTGCTGTCTACCAACCTACTAACTAGGAATTACCAATAATATTTTAGGTAAATGGACACATGCAACCAATGGGATATTTTATTGTGGCAACATTTCGCTCTTCAGGAACCTTATCAAGCTGTTATGGTTTGACAAAGCTCCTGGAAAGAGAAATGTTTAAAGATTAAAGATTCTTTATTTCAGTATGATACAATGTTTGTACATAGGTGAATGACATCTAGGTATGCATGCAGAAAGACCCTTAGTATGCAAAGCACTTCAGGCAAACTTAAGACTAACTTAAGATTAATAAGGCAATAACTAATTGACTACTTACATATACAGTCTCTTAAGTGATTGTAAAAAATAAAATTAAGAATTATAATGAATACAAGAGAACTAAATATCCTATTAGTACATGCTTTATGGCCTTTATCATGTTTCATTAGCCCTTGTGGCTTAGCGCTTCTTTTTTATTATAATAATAATGTTTCATTGCTTTAGAATTACACGTTGGATTATGATTATAGGTAATGAGGATACAAGCACATTAACATATTGTGAACACATTCAATATTTTAATGGTTGTGAGAATTACAGATATTGAGAATGTCTTCCATACATGTGTGACAATGAGAATAAGGATATATAGTTTTCTCATATTTATTCTGATGTTAGGATATGTAAGGAAGAGAAAGTGCTTTTTTTTACAGTAGTTTTGAAGATGCTGGCAGAGTGACTGGAGATTTCCAACAGGGGGTTCCAGATTCTGGGCCCTTTTATGTACACTGAATTTTTACAAAGGTCAAGCCAGACACAGGGTATGTCAGAGATTTTTGTGCCTAGTATTATGTTGATAGGTTAAGATTCAAGTCTCTTCTCAAAGATCACTTACCTAAAACCAAATAAGTACTGAATAACTGAACCTTATAAATTGTATATCTTAAATGTCACCCTGCCTTGGTGGGAGACGACCGACTTGTTGAAAAAAAAAAAAAAAATCTTAAATGTTTCTCACAATTATATCACATAAGCAGCGCTGTATAGCCCTTGTGGCTTAGCGCTTCTTTTTGATTATAATAATAATATATCACATAAATGTTAAACCTAAGACCCAATTTAACTTTTTTTTAAATACACTACCTAACAGAATACTCCATTCTACTGAATGTACACAATGCATGCAACCATATGACCTGTCTTTGTAATACTCATTTGTGCTTTATAGTAATCTGTTTACATTAATGTTTTATCACTGATTACATCACTGCTTAGTTAATCTTAAGTTAATTTTAAGCCAGCCCGTAATGCTATGCATACAAGTGGCTTTGGCATGCTGCTCTTACCTGTATTTTTTTGTACATCTATGCACAGTAGTAAGAGTGAATGTTTTGTATAGTAAGTAGATTTAGGTTTTTGATGAGTTAGGGGAGGAGGTTGGCTAGCAGTGGACTGTGATCATTTGTTTAGTTAGTTTAATATGTTTATTATGCACCCCATACCCATCCTGTGGGCGGTAGTCAAAAGATTACAGAGGTACATAATTGGTCCAGGGACTGGACTCCAAAGTTTTGATAGCTGAGCAAGTTACAAAGGTAATGAACTAGATCTGGTCATAATCATGACCAAGTTACAAAGGTAATGAGCTCCAGGTAGAGCTGGTCACACTCATGAATAATTGCAAAGGTAATGAATCATAAACACATTAATCATGAGAATTTACAAAGGTAATGAGCTCCAGGTAGAGCTGGTCACAATCATGACAAGTTTCAAAGGTAATGAATGATAAACACGTTATCACATGATTACAATCATAGACAAATTACAGAGTAATGAGCAGTAAACAAACATAGCAGGGAATTCATCCATTGCCCCAACAACAGATGTTGCTAGGTGCCTGTCTCTCCTCGGTAAACAGCCATTGCAAACAGCAGCAAGTTGCCCTGGGATCTGCTGCTTGCACGAGCACCATCGACCCTCCCCAAGAGGTCCAAGAAGCCAGTGACTCCGTTAGCAGCCCGATGAAGAGCTCCCCTAGGGACATGTCAGCGTCCTGGTGGACGCCAAGTTGATTGAAGATCCCAGGCCCTCGTGTGCACGGATGTTGAAGCTTGAGGAACTGAGTACACACTGCCTGTGGCACACCTGACAGCTGCCTCGCGGTCGAACTCCACGATGCTGTCCCTGTAGTGGAAGTTCCTGTGAGCCCGGCACTCCCTGCAGTGCCATCGCTGACATCGTGGGTTAGGGGAGAAGTACCCTCTACTGATGGGGTGGCGCTGGGAGTTGGGTGGGTGAGGCGGGGGAGACGCGCAGGTGTTGAGGCGTTATGAAAAGGTCACTGTTTACTACACACGCCCTCCCCCTCCCCCCAGCGGAGAGGGGGGGAGGCGCTGACTGGTCCTGACTCAACAACACCAAATCCTCTGAAACTGCACAACACTTCAACTATTTACGCTGAAACGATGCACTGGGATGTCCGTTCGCTGCTCTGGTATCTTCTCCAAGCATTCACACTGAGTTCTGTTAAGTAGGGACCTGGTCAGCCTCTTTGACCAGGAGCTATCCTTGAAAATCCCACAGCTAGCCCGCTACACAACCTGCCATGTCGGCCATGTTGAGCCCTGTGTGATCATTTGTAATGATCATTTGTACTGTGGCTTTTTGTACTTATTACACACCATAATAAAATGCCACATTAGTTGCGTATGTGTACATTTACTTGACAATATGAAAGTACACATTATAAGCTTGCCGGTAATGACAGGATCACTAACTTGGGCAACATTACTGTTATATTCATGGGAATGCACTAACCCCGTTAGTTTCATACAACACCTGGGAAATGGCAGGTAATAAAGTTTGACCTAAGAGAGGAGCTCCATTTGCTTGAATTATGAGCTCTTCACTAGCATTCAGCGCTGTATAGCCCTTGTGGCTTAGCGCTTCTTTTTGATTATAATAATTCACTAGCATTAAGAAAATTAAAAATTAAATAAAAATATTAAAAATTGAAATTTTCATTTCAAGAAAATACAGATGGAAGTTACAATGGATGAATTAGCAGTTTGCTTGGTTCCAGGTATGATAATATATCAAGTATATGTTAGGAAAACCTCTTTTTATGCCAAGCATTTTAGGCAAACTAATTCTAGACCTTACATACTACGTAATGCTATTTCTCGCATGTCAAATTAGACTGAAAATTCAGCATGAATATTTTGTGCTTAATTATTTTATGCCTCAAGGGCAGCTCTAGAAACAATCTTTTAAGTGACTCAGGAGAATTATCTGTATATTGCATTTACTCACAAAATCGTAATGACAAAATTGCAAACAAACCATACCACAGGCAGGGCTAGAACTTGTGGTTATGGTCAAACAAACCATACCACAGGCAGGGCTAGAACTTGTGGTTATTGTCAAACAAACCATACCACAGGCAGGGCTGGAACTTGTGGTTATGGTCAAACAAACCATACCACAGGCAGGGCTAGAACTTGTGGTTATTGTCAAACAAACCATACCAGAGGCAGGGCTAGAACTTGTGGTTATGGTCAAACAAACCATACCACAGGCAGGGCTGGAACTTGTGGTTATGGTCAAACCATACCACAGGCAGGGCTAGAACTTGTGGTTATGGTCAAACAAACCATACCACAGGCAGGGCTAGAACTTGTGGTTATGGTCAAACAAACCATACCACAGGCAGGGCTAGAACTTGTGGTTATGGTCAAACAAACCATACCACAGGCAGGGCTGGAACTTGTGGTTATGGTCAAACAAACCATACCACAGGCAGGGCTGGAACTTGTGGTTATGGTCAAACAAACCATACCACAGGCAGGGCTGGAACTTGTGGTTATGGTCAAACAAACCATACCACAGGCAGGGCTAGAACTTGTGGTTATGGTCAAACAAACCATACCACAGGCAGGGCTGGAACTTGTGGTTATGGTCAAACAAACCATACCACAGGCAGGGCTAGAACTTGTGGTTATGGTCAAACAAACCATACCACAGGCAGGGCTAGAACTTGTGGTTATGGTCAAACAAACCATACCACAGGCAGGGCTGCAACTTGTGGTTATGGTCAAACAAACCATACCACAGGCAGGGCTGCAACTTGTGGTTATGGTCAAACAAACCATACCACAGGCAGGGCTGCAACTTGTGGTTATGGTCATAAAACAATGCGAGTTCAAGCTCCGCCCGTGCTATGGTTTGATTGCATTTACTCTTGAGCTCTCTAAATAGTCAGACTCTACTGGGAGACAAATGTACTGCAATAAGAGCTAGAGTAAGATCACTTACACAAATAACCTGCACGTAAGATGTTTTGGTCCGACTTGGACCATTAACTTACTTCACAAATTCTGATACTTTCAGCCCTTTCTACTTGAATCTCTTGCTACCCTCTACCCCCGTACTATCCCCTGCCCCGCTGTTTTCTGTAACCTGCTGATCATCCCCCCTCCCTTCTGCCATCCAATTCCCTTGCTTCCTTCCCTACCCTGCAGCGCTGTATAGCCC